AAATTTACGTTTTCTTTTGATCATCTACAAAGAGATGGTCGATAATTTGCGAACATTTACCAGATTTCAAATTAAAAGCTCTAAGTGCCACGCGATGGTCTAGCAGAATCGATGCAGTCAAACCATTATGGTACCCGCCAATAAACACGATTCGTCGTAGAAGAAGACCAACCCAATTTCAATATTGTAGCGTTTTTCTGGGTTCTTTTCGGTGTGAATTAAAACAATGGGTTGCACAAAAATAAACGCACTGATTTATTTATCTTGACTAGATAGAACATTTATGTTCACCACTATTTATGTTTGACTAGTTCTTATGTTGCGCCACAATATAAACACAGTGACGAAGTGTTACTAGACTCCAAGATTAAATACAACGTAGAGCTTTTTTTCAAAATCTTCAATCAGACGCTAACCTCTCTAACGGTCAGATTAGAGGAATTAAATACTTTTCCTGACGTATTTGGCTTTTTAAACAATAACTTATTGAATTACTGCAACGATGACTCAATGATGCATTGTAAAAAGTTTAATACAAAGCTTAAAGACGAATCTACTGGCGACATTGATGGAATCGATTCATTTAATGAAAATAGAGCTTTGAACTTGCACTTTCGGGAAAATCAGTCTAACGATTCTCATGCTTTGTTGCAATACCATTTTACTAATGATTTAATTTCAAGATTTCCAAACAGCAATAGTGCTACGAATATTTTTTGCATTGCCAGTCACAGTTGCATCCGGTGAAAGGTCTTTTTCAAAGTTACAGATTAAAAAAAACTTTTTGAGGTCAATAATGCACCAGCAAAGACTGAGTAATTTTGCTATAGTTTCTATTCAACATGAAATTTTAGACAGGTTGGATACGAAAAACTTGATAGCAGATTTTTCAAACGTAAAGGCAAGAATAGTTCCATTTCTGTAGAAATAAATATTTACTTATACAGGGTTACCCGAAAAAAGTGTGCTATAATCTACCAGCGGTTTCTGGAGCTTAAAATAGGAAGAAAAGTGACCGTCTTTTAAAGGGGCTCCCCTAAAGATGGTTTTGTCTTAATATTTCCGAAACGTGTTGAGATAAAGACATAAAATTTGGTATTCTAGCCTAGTTTTTTATGCTGGATTTAAAAAAATTAACAATTTTAGACAGTTTTGTTCCGAAGCGTATGTAACAGGGACGGAATCAGGTTATTTTAGCCCCAAAATTTTTGTGTAATTCTATTTTTGAAATTCAATTTTAGAATTTGAAAATCTCGGGTTTTCTACATAAAAAAGGTACTCTTATTGAATATCGATAAATTGTGCCATTTTTGAATAAAATTAAACTAAAGCATTTGTCACATGATAGGAAATGTACTGCGAATTTAAATGAATTCTTAAATAATTATCCATGGACACGAAAAAACTAATTAAATAATTGGTAAATATTACATAAATACATATTTCTAGTGCAATATAGCTAACATTTAGGCAAAAACAAAAGAAATAATTTTTTTTTACGAACGAAATTGAAATTTGTTTAAAAAAGAAGACATACAGTTGGATATACTTAAAACTAGCTTTATAATAAGTGTTCAAATAAATTCCCATTTTGTTGGATACAGAGTCTCGCTCGACGAACTAATGATTGCGTAGCCCGAAAAGTGGAAAACCTTTTTCTTCTTATTTCATTTGCAGCCTGATGGATTGTTTGAAGTAAATCTTCTTGAGTATTTACTTCAGTCAAGTAAACTAGGTCTTTTAATGACCCCCAAAAATAGAAATCCAATGGATTTAGGTCAGGTGAACGTGGCGGCCACGCTATAGGACCTCATCGGCCTAACCACCTGTCTGGAAAATTGACATTCAACCAATTTCGAACATTGCGTCCAAAATGTGCAGGGGCGTCATCATATTTTCTTGAAACTGCTGGCGCACATCCAATGGTATTATATCCATGAGCTCATTCTGAAGAAAGTTAGTTAAGACGATTGGGAAGTACAATAGGCCCAATTACTTGATCCCCAGTTACCCCTGCCCATAAGTTCAATGAAAATATATGTTGGAAATTTGTACGGCGAACAACTTTTGGATTTTCATCTGACCAGTGATGTATGTTATGGAAATTAAAAGCACCATTCCTAGTAAATATTGACTCTACCGACCATAATATTCCATAATATTCTAGGAATAGTGTTTTCATTTGCTAATATCCACTGGCAAAACTCGATTCGTGGTAAAAAATCTGCCTCCGTTAAATGCTGCACCTGTTTAAAATGATAAGGATGTAATCCTTGCATCCTTGTCATTCTTCCTATCTGAAATTATTATTTTTAGGATAACTATCAAATAGGTATTCATAAATTTTTCTTACTATTGATCGAGGTATATCCATAATTTCTGAAACATTTCGTATGCTTATTTGCGGATTAATTTCAAACATATGTAGAGCAATATCCATACGATGATTTCCCAGTGGCCTTCCTGAGCCCTGCATGCGCTGAAAACTTCCATGATTTGACAAATTCCGGTGAATATCAGTAAACATTCGACGTCCAGGTACTAGGCGATTGGGAAAGCTTCTTTGATATTCTCTTACGGCTGCCAATGAACTGCCATTGCGAAACCCGTACACAAAATGCATGTCAGTCAGTTCTCTGTCTGTAAATCTTGGCATTTTAAATCGATTTAATAAAAATTTTGATTTTAATCTAGTAATTTTACACTGCTAAGAATGTCAGCTTAAGGTCAAAATAAGTCATAACAAATCAAAACAACTTTTGTTTGCAGTCATGGCTAACTATGTATAATCAACAATTCATTTAAATTCGATTTCCTATCATGTGACAAATTTTTTAGTTTGATTTTCTTCAAAAAATGGCACAATTTATCGATATTCAATAAGAGTACCTTTTTATGTAGAAAACCCTAAATTTTCAAATTCTAAAATTGAATTTCAAAAATAGAATCACACAAAAATTTTGGGGCTAAAATAACCTGAGTCCGTCCTTGTTACATACGCTTTCAAACAAAACTGTCTTAAATTGTTAATATTTTTAAATCCAGCATAAAAAACTAGGCTAGAATACCAAATTTTATGTGTTTATCTCAACACGTTTCGGAAATATTAAGGAAAAACCATCTTCAGGGGAGCCCCTTTAAAAGACCGTAGCTCCCTTTGGCGACGTTTGTCGACGTATGTTTATATAAACTTTTCTTCCTATTTTAAGCTCTAGAAACCGCTGGTAGAATATTGCACACTTTTTTTGTAAAGTATTTTTTGTATTTTCTCATGCCCTTATAGGACAGTGGCTTTCGATGCGATTTGATACTCGGATACTCCAGTGATTCACCAACACAGACAGTTCTCAGCATGGGGCGGCTAACTAGGCATTGCACACGGGCGTTCAAACAAATAGCGGCGGGCCTGTCTCTAGCTACCCATCCAGTGAGCCTTGAGAGATTGTTTTATTGTGAGGTTTAATCCCAATGAGAGATTGCTGATTTGACTGATAAACTGATATGCATGCTAAATACTGTACTGTTATTTGAAAAACGTTTATTAAGAATTTCTGTGAAAATGAAGTTGCCTGCGTAAACAAGACTATCAAATTTACAGAAGCTGCTGTTTTCTGTTATAAGTAGGGTGATGGAGAGGTGCATAAAAAAGGCAGTATGGTTTCCGGTACCAGCGACCTCCTAGCTTTCATCACGCAACTGTGGGATAAACTCATCTAGTCTTATAGTGAGGCTCATGTCATTGCTCTTTATCGCGAAAGCGGACGCTTTCGCACCGACTCTCTTCTACCACTACACTAACGAGCTTTGCTCCTCAGAGCTCTACTCAACGATGTTCCTGCCAGGCAAATCCGCCTGACTTAGGCCTCCCATCCTAACTGTGTCGAACTTTGTACATCCAGAACTAGTCGATACGACCGCTCCTTTAACCCGAGGGTGTCGAGATTGTGGAACAATCTACAAGAGAAGGATTTTCCCAGTTCTACTGTGGGCAGCTCAAAAATTATAAGGAGTAATACTGTGCGGTGCACCTCGGTAACCAGTTTCATTAGGACGGCAGGTGCCTAGCAGTGCTGCTTCCACATTTATAAAGTAAAGGTAACAACTCGTTACTCATAGATACCCGAAGAAACGAGTACAAATCCAAGCATGCAATGGTTACTTTGATTACTCTGTTTTCCGGACTCGTATCCAGTTCGCGTACAATCGTTGATCATTGAGTGGCAACGCTGGTTTCAGTGTAGCACTGCCGCTCATTCGCCAGGGTTGCCAGACATCCCACATTCGGGTATCAACCTGGAAACTCCAGATTTAAAAATAATTACCAAATTCTGTCAAAGAAAATTAAGTTTACCTATTTACGCCGTCACTCAAATTCGATCTATCTTGGCAGAAAAGCGACAACAAGGTAACAGCGCCGCTCAGGAAAACCACAATAATAAAAATTATGTCAATTTGACTAGTAATTACTTGTCCCACATTTTGCTAAAAATTAATAATTCATTATGACCACCAATAGTATGTGTAGACCAAGCTCCACGTAGAATTTTTTATACTGGTACATGCTTGATTGAAATTCTTCGAAAAATTGTCATTCCGAATTTTCTTTAAACATTTCTAGTAAATACAAAGTATTTTCAGTTTGTAGGCTCATACGAGTCCTATGGCATCCTATCCCATAATAACCCTTATCGATTTGCATAAAGTTTGAAGATGCGATGCTTGCAATAAACACGGCAGATTTCAATAAACTATGTTTGAAACATTTTGCGAATTTTAAGATGTCTATTTCCTTACAAGATTCGGTTCCGTTGAACTTGTTCGAATTCGACACTAATTACACGACGCACGTTGCCACTCATACTACTCATAGTAATCAAAGTAACGAATATAATAAATGACTGCTTTGTAGAGGATTAACGATTAGTAACGAATACTTGGAAGTAACGAGACCCAACACCACTATTGTAAAGCGGGTTCAAAAAAGTCTATACACGGATGTCGGGGACGGGTCGCGTCCGTTCGCCTGTCGTTAACGACTGAAATCGTGTCGCTTCGTGTGGCTTCGACTGGCCGTCGCGTCGTGTCGTATATAAAAAGACAGATAGCGCAACGGCCCAAGCACCCGGCTGTTTGACCTTCGTTTTCCAAGCGGGTATCCGGATTCCGGCTTTTATTTTACTGCATTTCGCTGTGATCGCACGGTATCGACACGCGTACGTCGTGTGTATCTCCAGGTTATGTTTCTAGCTGTTTTATAGACGTAAACACTCAAGTTCATAAATTCAGGATGACTGAATATGATATAGATATTGAACTGTTTATAACGTTAGTTCAGGAACATCCTGTTATATGGGATAGGTCGGACAAAGATTACAAACATAGAAATCCGACGGCTCAAGCATGGAGGGATATTTGTTCGGTCCTTGTGGAAAATTACAGTTCTGAGGATGAATATAAAAAGTCCCAAATATGTGAGTATAGAGTTAATTTATCTTAATTTACCGCTTGGTGTACATGTTTAAGGCCGATTTATAAACTCGCTGTTGGTCGTTCGTCATTGCAGATGGTCAATCCATTTAGTAATTGCAGTTCTGTAGACATTTGCAAAAGTCCCAACTGCAACTGTCAATTATAGACAGGTCTACAAAAAAAGAATTTTGTTTGATTCCACTAATTCTGTGTTATAATTCAGTTAATTGGCTTGCAAGATATCGTGCGAAACTGTCAAAATCTTGAAGCTACCTTCAGATTTGTATCGATCGATAATAACCTAAGAAATGTATTTTGTCACACTTAATGTCATTATAATCAATTTATTTATTTTTTTTTAATTACTAATATCAATATGCCGTCGTCGAGAAGGTTCTGTATAAATAATCCAAATACATTTTGTTACATTTGTGGTGAATATGTCGTGAAAAAGTTTACAAAAACCTATAACAGATTTAGTCAAGAAGACATACGTTGATTACTTTAATATAGAGATGAAGGCTCTGAACAAACCGTGGGTTCTGAACATAGTGTGCAAGTTGTGTAGTGAATATTTAATACATTGGAGAAACGGTAAACAAAAATTACAGTTAGTACAAAACTTCTTAATTAGCTTCAAAAATCTGTCACGTGCCAAAATCACGTAACCTTTTTTTTACTATTTATCACATATCCGTAATTTGAATTTCTCTTTATTGATAATAGAGTGCCCATTTCTAGGCCAAACCCTTTTCAATTACTTTCTTTTGGCAAATTTAATAGTTTATTGACTGTATAATTTCACTCGTATTATATCTTTCTTTCTCAGCGATTCAGTATGGTGTTGACGATCAGCAAAGAACTCTGTAGTTTTTCTTCGTCAGTTGGTTGCCTATAAAACATATCTTCTTCTAGGCCACTCAAGATTCCTTCCTCTACAACGTTACGTATTCTGCGTGATTCGCTTTTCTGTTTTCGTTGAGGTCGTGGTGCAGGGGTCATTTTACGTTTTCCGGACTCTGGGATATTAGGCCCCAAGCGCCCATTCATACACTAGCACCCTTTTCTTTTTGTTGTGTAACTTAAGTTTAGTTAATTTCGTTTAGGTGCTACGTCTTCCATTTTTTATGGGATTTTGACCCTCAGCGGTAAGTTATTTTTTTATATACCTTCGGACCGCGTGCCTTGATGTGTGTCCTGATGACGTTCATTCAATATCTGCTTTCTTTTTGTCAATCCGTCCTAAGTCATTGGCGCTCTTAACCCGCCCTTTCTCTCCGCTTTATTGAGCTAGGGCTTAAATTTTCACGCCACCAGACAACTGTTTTGCTTGGACCAACCGTTAGATAGTATTTATCATTGTGTTTTATTAAATAAACAAACAAAGGCATGGCAAATCTTGGATGAAATATGAGCATAAAGGTAGACTATCTGGACAATCCTTTAGACAAGTTTCCTGAAAATCTTGGAGCGTATATCGAAGAACAAGGAGAACGTCTCCATCAAGATTTAAAGGTGATGGAAGGTAGATACCAAGGTCAAATCAATTGTTTTGAATGAAATGTTCTCTTGATTTTTAATAAATTAATTAAAAGCTTTTTAATTCATTTACCTCAAATGAAAATTGTTTATTGTGATTGTCGCAACTAGTATTTGTGCGAAAATGTTCGTAAAAGTCTGAAATGGATTCAGGTAATGAATCTATCAGTCAACGCTTTTCTAATGACCACACATTTTAAGGTTAACTACAACTGCTAAAGTTGAAAATTGGCCAAGTCTAACTACCAACATCAACGGCAACAACGAACGACAAAACCTTATACAGATTCTCTAACTTTTAACTTGGGTGCCAACTGCAACGCGAATGACGCGAGCTTGGAGTTTATAAATGGGTCTTTATGTAAGATGTGAGCGACCATGTCTCAAATATCGCGTTGCCGCACCCGAATCATGCAAAGTAATCACTATGAATGCGATTTGCAATCCCTATTCATGAAATAATAGAGTAGAATACTGAGAGAATTTGGATGTGACTTTCTGACCTTTCGGCGAACTGTATTCCTGAACGCTGACAGAATAGATGCTCCCGGAGTTCACTGTCGGGAGAAAAAGGGTTAAAGTTTCGCCGAGATGGATCAGTTCCTTCTCTAAAGACGAAGTTGATTTTGTGATAAAATGTTTAATGACATGGAAAACATATAAACATATTATTTTCCGAAAATAGATGCATTCACAAATTTATTTTATTAACGTTAAAACACACGTCAAAGGCTGCCAAAAAAGGTAAGAGAATACTTTTTACCAGCTATACTCTATTCTCTCATTTCAAGAATTGGATGCTTCACCATACTGTTATTTTTGTACTAATTAGTCTCTAACCCAGACCACCCGTACTACCTGTGAACACCACCTATGGAGGACAAGACAAACAAACTGACATTATGCTACAATAGCTACGACACGCTTCGAAATGTTGTGCTAAGTCTAGTACGCTAAATTTCATACGAATTTAAGGATAGTGTCATACAGCATTTAGTACATAATTTTGTATGAACAAATTTACTGCTACATTTTACAGAACTTGTTCTAAAGTGAGCAGACGCCTACTGCGCATTTGGAGCAGTACAATGGCTGATAGAAACGCTACCAGCGCTACGTGACTAGGAATTAGATATTTTGTGTTAACTCCTTAATATTCTCTTGGTGTTTTGTGATGATTGGGCGAAGTGATAACTGGTAAAAACAAGTCTAACCTCAAGCATTTTCATCAGTTGTGTTAATCAGTTTCGCGAAACTCCCCTGCTTATGCTGTATGCAGTTCTACTTGTAGATTGAAAAACTTAAAAGATGTCGTGGTCCAAAGAGCAGTGTGACATACTACTAAATGGATATGAGAAATATGATTGATTATAAAATAGGTTCTAAAAAGCAAAGAATATAAAAACAGAAACGCCAAATAAGCTGCGTTGGATAAAATCGGAATGAGTTTAGAACCAATTAGGCCTATAAGCCAGTGGATCCTCCACTAGAGGTCCTTGGCCCCTCTCTTTCTGATCCATTTTCCACACCAAATTGTCTTATGGCTTCGTTTTTTCATGCGATGGGCAGCTACAACGCAGATCGCTCATCCCTTAATAGCATATAATATAATTATGTGAATTACGGGATCGCTCTATTTTCTACAATTTTTCATTCGTTTAAAGTAATAAAGTAGCAAGCCGCAACGAAAAGTATGGTTAGTATGACTTTGACGTGATAAATGGCTCCCGACTGCGCATGATTTCGTACGAAATTTATTACAAAAATTTCTATACGTGACAGACAGCATTGAAATTTGTAAACAGATTGAGAATATGTTTTTATATATATATATATATATATATATATAGGTGAAAAATTAAAGCTTCCGCCTTTTGTTGGGTACTTCGACAAACGAAGTACCCAACAAAAGGCGGAAGCTTTAATTTTTCACCTAACTGGTCTAGACGACAATGACCACGTCTCAATATATATATATATATATATATATATATATATATATATATATATCTTTATATATAACTTGAGACGTGGTCATTGTCGTCTAGACCAGTTAGGTGAAAAATTAAAGCTTCCGCCTTTTGTTGGGTACTTCGACAAAAATTTAAGCAAGGAGGACTCTTTATACTTTTTTTATTCTCTCTAGCTTTCAATGGATTTTGCCGTAATCATCAGGAGCTGCAATTACATTGATAACAGTAGCAACAGTAGTGTAAAATAAATAAAAATAAAGTTAATTTAAATTCATTTTACACTATTGTTGCTACTGTTATCAAAGTAATTGCAGCTCCTGATGATGATAGCAAAGTCCATTGAAAGCTGGAGAGAATAAAAAAAGTATAAGGAGTCCTCCGTGCTTAAATTTATGTCGAAGTACCCAACACAAGGCCGCAGCTTTAATTTTTCACCTATCTTTATATATAAATACATATATACAGGGTGCTACAGAGAGGATGGACGGTTTTAAATAAATGATAAAATAGTTAATTTTTACTCGAAAACAAATTTATTGATGGAATCAGGTTCACAAGGAAATAGCATTTGAGACAGTCAAGTGTGGAAAATCACATCAGGCATGTGGTGGCCGAAATCGTTGATGCAGTGCTGGAGGCGTTCTTGGAAGTTCGCGTAGACTCTCTCCAACATCGCTCTCTCAACTTGGGCGACTTCCACGCGAATTTCGCCCTTCAATTCGTTCAGAGTTCGGGGCTTGTTAGCGTATACTCTAGCCTTGTGGTGTCCCCATAAGAAAAAATCGCATATGGATAAATCTGGGGACCGAGAAGGCCAATGAACATCGCCAAACCTGGAAATAAGGCGACCAGGGAAGAGAGGGCGAATAACGTCCATGGATGCTCGGGCTGTGTGGGCGGTCGCCCCATCCTGCTGGAACCACACACGGATTGGAACACGTCGCCGTCGTAATTCAGGGAGAAAGAAGTTGGTGATCATGTCGACGTAGCGCTCTGAGTTCACGGTAACATCACGACCGTCTTCGAAGAAGTAAGAGCCAATGATGCAAGTTTGCGATACAGCGCACCAAACCGTTACTTTTGGGCTGTGCAGCGGTCTTTCGTGTAACTGTTGCGGATTTTCATTAGCCCAATAACGACAATTCTGCTGGTTAACCATGCTGTTTAGGTGAAAGTGGGCTTCGTCACTCATAAACAAAATGAGGTTCTCATTTTGATCGATCTCCGTCTCACGTGCGAAGTTCATTCGTTGTGCATAATCTCCAGGCTGTAACTGTTGCACAACGGCCAATTTGTAGGGGTGAAAGCGGAGATCCATATGCAAAATTCGCCTTACCGAACGATCACTAAGGCGAAGTGCAGCAGCATGTTTCCGGGCAGATCGAGTCGGACTGCGAAGAAAGACCTGTCGAACGCGTTCAACATTTTCAGGAGTTCGAACTGTTCGCGGTGCTCCTCTTGGTCTGCTGTTGATCAGTTGACCACTCCTGCGAAGTGATTCAACAAAACGAAGGATGGTGTTTCGAGAGGAAACAGCTCTATTCCGATGAATGTTGAAGTGGTGACGATGACTGACTCATTATTTCGGACGAAACAATCACAGGCGAAAACGCGGTGCTTTACCGTCCAAGGCTCCATAACGACAACTGGTAAAATAATGCTAGGATCTCACGAGTCAAACGGCACCCACCCCACCTCTCTCGTAGACGGAGGCGGAGAGTACTACCCATCCCAAAAACGTCCCTCCTCTCTGCCGCACCCTGTATAATAAAATGCCTACCAAAATCGGGACAGGCCGGACAAATTTGGGCGGACAGGACCGGAAAAAGCCGAACATGTCCCGTCTGATCCGGACGGATCCTAGTCCCGTATGAACAGCAAGTAGTCGCGCATTTCTTTTGCAGCGCAACCATTGAATGGTTGAGTGTACCGGCAGTCAAATTACAGCGATGTAGCGCTTGATCATGTCAACGATTATCTGCGCACAAAAAAATCAAAATACTTGAAAAATATGTGGAGACCAAATATCCTCAAAACCCTAAAATTAATTATTGTCAGTTTGATCAATAAAATAAAAGCAAAGAGTCAGATTTTTAATGATATTCTAGTAGAAATTTTCGTACATGATGTGAATCTAGCCTGATCTCACTTTTTAAAAAATTGCTGTACAAAATAATTTGATGTATTTTTTAATTAGTCTTTTTTGTTGCAGCTAACACTGTTCACAGGAAATGGACAAATCTTAAAGACTCGTGGATAAGGTGTTTCAAAAAAGATATCGAGCTGAGAAAAAGCGGTAGGAATAAATCGAGAAAATACATATATCATGACCAAATGGCTTTCTTGCGGAAGAACTTCGTAGAAACGAATGGCAGTGAATCAAGCCTAACGGAAGAAAATGATCCTGGCACTAAACCTTTCATGGATGATAGTAATTCTCAGATTTACACTTTAACGTTTCCTCAATCCCCTGTTGAAAATGAATGCGAAGTAGACGTGGAACTGCTGATATCTCTAGTTGCAGAACGTCCTGCTATATGGGATAGAACGCACCGTTATTACAAGCATAAGAAGGCATCAGCGCAAGCATGGAAAGAGATTTGTACTATAGTTGTAGATCAATACATGAAAGCAGAGGATACTGAAAAAGTTCAGATATGTAAGTATATTTTCATTATTGTGACAGATCATTGCAGCATCATATCTGTTTTTGGAAACATGCTTAGACTTTTTCCCTCTGATTCACTACATATACTTTTGTGTAATGAGTAAAAATGAGTAGTCGAAAAAATAGTAGGTAAAAATGAATCTGTGGACATACCCTGCTACAAATACAACAAGTGGTACGTATTACAAACACAGTCTAGATAACATCACACTTTTGAGTATATATTTATATAGGAGAAATGAAGGAACCAGACGAAAACATCTCTTTACCGCTTCTCATTTTACAGCAGTAAACATTTCTTTAAAATGATGCTATGATGGTACCATAGGTGTTAATGAAAGTTTCTAGAAATATTATTCTTTTTCACATAAATCATCATAGGAGTCATTGGAGTAAGATGACAATTTCGCCTCTTATGATGACTTATGTGAAAAGGAATAATGTACCTTAAAACTTTCAGTAAATGTTCATGTGGACTCAAAATGAAATGTGGGGGCAAATTCTTTTATACTAAAATAACATCATTTTAAAGAAATGTTACTGCTGTTTTCGTCTGGTTTCCTTAACCCTTCTACTTAAATATATCTAACAAACGTAAATATTTTTCCGTTTATTGTAAATTTGCAAATTTATTCTGAAGCTGTTTTATAAATAAATAATCATCAGTACTCCGTTGCTTTCTTTTTGGACAAATATGCTCCTTTTTTATCATTGGTTCACACAAACTGCTCATCAGCTCATATCGCAATAAAATAATGTTTACGATTGCAACGCATATCTGGCGGCCGCTGGCATGGTACATGGCAACACCGCCTAGGATTACTCAGGACGGAACGCTGGAACTTCTTTCATCGTTGTACTGGGGGAATCTACATTTGACATTCTCCGCCGAAATGGCAGTCGATTTTGACAGTGACAGGAGAATTTCATAGCTGATTGTTATCTAAACTGTGCTACTAATATCCAAATATTTTTAAAATATATAAATATTCCCCTGTAGCGCTGTGTCGGATTGCAACTTATTTAGAAGCATGAACACATCGGACTTTTATCAATCAAATTCTCTCACTACATTTTTTTTTTCGAAAATGATCAAGAGCGATTTTTTTTCGTCCCCCACTCCGCCGCTACTGAATCGATTTTCAAAAACTACAAAGCTTTTTCGTCCTTGGCACAGTGGCAACTATGTGTGTAAATTTCAACAAAATCCGACCGGTACTTCCCAGGTTATAGAGGAGTCAAGGATTAGCGGACAAACAGACAAATGAACGGAAATGGGTGACATGATTTTTTGTGATGAACATCAAAAAATATCATTTTCGAAATTTTCTACTTTCTCGGCCATTGGCGTAGGAAGTAAAATTGGAAAAATCTGCCACCATTAGGGTTTCATTTCAGGTTGTTGTCTTCCATTCTTCAATCACTTGTATGATCAAAAACAGTTTTAATGAGTTTTTTTGTTACAGGTAGAACAGTACAACGGAAATGGACGAATATAAGAGATACATGGACGAAGTTTGTTAAAAAAGAAGCAGATATGAGAAAATCTGGAATTACTCCAACAAACTTGAAGAAGTACACATATCATGATAACCTGTTTTTCTTACAAAGGAATCTTCAAAACAATAATGCTCCCTCGAACACAATGGATGCAAAAGAACTTAGCCTACAAAACTCTACAGATGATAGTAATGAACACACAAACGTAAACACGTCGAACTCAAACAGAAAACGGAATAATGATCCATTCGAAACTCAAAATTTTGGAGTAGCAAATATAAATGACGAACTGGATGCAAAGGATGTCGGTTACATTAATTTTACAGATGATAGCAGTGACGCCCTACGATCAACCCGTACTCAATCCCCAGTCAATAATTCTCAAATACGCATGGGTAGCACATGTAACACCAAGAAAATGAGATTCACTCAAGCCGAGGAAGTGGAATTAGGAGAAAATCGTCATATGTGTTTTTTCAGAGGTATACTTCCTTCTCTTAATGATTTTGATGATGATCAGACTATAGAATTCCAGATGAAAGTCTTGTCCACTATAAGGGATATAAAGAAATATCGGTTGAACTCAAACTTATTGGATAATGCGAACGCACCTAGCTTTGCAACTCATAGTGATACTCCATTCGCAAGCATACGGAATATGAATCCAGAACGAAGTGCTCAAACTATTTCAAGCACTTCTGCTCCAAACCGGTCACCAGGCTTCATTTCGTCATCACCACTATCTGCTAAGCTTGAATATGATTCTCCAGATTCGCCTGCTTCACCAAGTGCTCCGACATAGATTCATTGGAGTTATTGAATAGGTATTCTTAGATTTTCATGAGGTTAAGTACTGATATGATAGAGACTGCTATCTATTTGTCTAATAAATAATTTACAATATTTTATTGTCATTTTATTCAACACATCCATCATATATTATGTTGAGATAAATTTCGAAAAGTATAGTTACGGTACAAGTTCAACCGCAATTCAACAGCATATCACAAGTTTTTGTTCTGACACAATCATAAACACAATCACCCGCACACAGTCACAAGCTCGCAGTGTGTTTATACAACTGTCATTAATCATAGTCATATGCATTTATCCATTTTTGATTTTCACAGTTGACAGCTTCCGGCACGGGTTTTACGTATCTTGAAGTGAAGTGACATTATGCCGATTTTTTTTGACATTATGCTGTTTTTTTGACATTATGTAGGTTTTTCTACTTAGCTTAGCACTTAGTTGTACGTGTAGTCTAAACCTCACGAGGCTTGTTATCAATCTTTGGTTCTGATGTGATGTAAAATCTGCTTCTGAGATGGCATTACTGGAGGTCTACGCTGTAAGTGGTATGTTTTGATGATAATTACATTGGGTTCTTGTCTCAAATACAGTTAATTGAGATTCAGAGCTAGAAATTAGTTGCACAGCCACTTTTTCTTATCCATTCTGGAAATTTACCCATACAAATTTGTTGGATTTCAAAAATGAGAGAGATAAGAAGTAATTATACTCACTGTACACTGTCGAATTACAAGCCATATGCTACCAGTAATTACACACAACGCGGGCGCGGTGATGATTTCCCGTAATTCTCCTCAGTTTTTCGTAATTTATAACTTTGATCATAAATTCTCTTCAGAAGGAACAACATAAATATAACCCATAGGGCCAATAGATATACATACTTCATTGGCAGCATATTCAGTAATGATTTTCTCACACAGCAAATATCACTGATTTTATATACATGCAGACCAATACACATAATCATCCAGATGCGATCTTGCTATTCAACCAACTTTCTTTCCAGAGATAAAAACTACAGACTAGGACCACTCGGCCTCATAAAACACATGCAACCAATAATGCGTGTAGTGTTTAGTTGAGAGATTCCTCTATAGATAGACGTTCACAACGATCCTAGTGAGGAAACATGGAACGACTGTTTGCGCCCTAAAAACTACCTAGTTTGCAAGATGACAGCTTATAGGTTTGTTTGACGTTTTATAGGTTTTTTACATGATACCCGTGCTAGTCACTCATTGTTGGTCAATTCTGACACCTATAGACACAAGAAAAAACAAAAAACGAACAAACAAATGGCGAACACAACTAAAATAAGAAAGAAAATGAAATAGAAACAACAACAACAACCCACAAAACATCATAAAGCTACAAAACTTTGACACTTGACAGAACGCCTTCGACAGTTTTAACACATAGATTTGGTAAAGTCATAAGCAGCCCTTTTTACATTGACAATAAATCTTCGGATTTCATGAATTGGGTATATAGTCAAATTTCAAAAGTGTAAAATAGGAGTTTGAGTCAAATGAATCCATGAAGTTCTTCGTGGATTTCTTCACAAAATTAGAACTTATTCCAGTTTTTGCCAAGTTGTACGTCAAATTCAATAGTGCCAACCTTGTTTTCCTTTCACTATATTGAACAGCTTTACAATTCAAGTACAGAACTATGATGGAACTACAGTATTCAACAATATGGTTATGCGCATCAAAATCAAAACCACAATATATATATATACATATATATATATATATATAAGCTCAAAATATTTCTAGCAAGAATTTGTCGTGTGGTTGGCAGCACTGACTACTGACAGATAATCCATCAATTTGTTCTTTGATGGAAACACCGCAAACAATTAATCAGGCAGTGTTGCCAGAGCCAACATTCCAACATTGAAAATTCCGCTACTGGTATCGAAAAACTCCGCTACTTTCCACTACCTCGGGTTACAAATAACTGTCAAACAACAGAACATTTATCACGCAGTCATATTAAAGAAATATCACAGGAAACTAAAAAATAAAAAGGATATAAAGAAATTCATAATCTATAGTCTTTGTACAAAAGCGGAAGAGAGTAGCAGAACAGATTGTACACCACGGCGAGATCCGCACGGGTATTACGTATCTTGGAAAGTGACATTATGTCGATTTTTGTTGACATTATATTGTGTTTTTGTGACATTATGTAGATTTTTCTACAAGATGTTAAATTAGCACTAGCTGATGGACACTGGTTATGAACTCGTTTTGTAGTTGTGTTGCCTAACCGTCATGATGCTTCACTTATCAATGTTTGACTCTGATGTGATGTAAAATCTGCTTCAGAGATGGAACTATTGGAGGTATAATCTGTACTATAGCTAGAATAAAACGGCAGTACATAGGTGCATAGTGAGTGTGCTAATAATATGTGTTGATGATAAGTCCATTGGTTTCTTGTATCAAAGACACTTACTCGTACTTGAGACTCAAAGCTAGACATTAGATCCATTTTTTCTTCTTCATTCTGGAAATTACATACGCAAATTTGCTGAATTCCAAAAATGAGAGAGATAAGAAAAGAAAATTCCTGGTTGGTGAAGCAATAGATGAGAAAATATGCTACACACAGGGATATTTATGAAAGTGAAAAGGTTCTTACATTATTTTTATAGAAATTTATTTTGCGATGTCAATAGGAAATACAAATCAGCGCCTGGATGTAAGGCATTGCGAAAATGTTTGATGTGTCAGGCGTAATTTATAATTTTTTTGTGATGTGGCTTAATTGCATACAACGCGGGCGCGGTGGCGATTTCCCGTAATGCTCATCAAAGTTTTCAAGTTAGGAGCTGTCCAAGAGGTTTAGAAACATGAAGTGAAATCCAAACTATAATATTTTCGGCCAAAAACGTCATATTTTATAATTGTGATGAATACAGTGATTTTTTTAAACATTTGACAGCATATTTGCTTTTATTTCTGAATGCACTTACTGGATTTCCGAACTATTCAATAAAACAATATTTTTATACTTACACAGGCTTCGTGACATGTCCGGCTCAATGCTTGTTTCCAAAGTGTGCAGCCTCTTGTACACTGAAAAAGAAAAAGAAAATGATTATACGTTTTGAGAAAATGTATGTATGGAAGATTATGACGATACCTTTCGTATGATTTTTTTAAATAAATCAAGTCTCGATCTATTTAAGTTTCGCATGTACAGTGAATTGTTTATAATTATTCTCGTAGGCATTTGAAGTCTTTTTTTTAACATATCGATTTCCCGGTCTTATAGAGGTTATAAAAGTATACGTATGTAATATAATCTTCAGTTTATGAAAAATGGCGTCAATAAGTAGATTGACTATGCAGTCTTCTGCACCCAACGTCCTTATCAGTACATAAAGGAACGTGTTCAGCACAAACTAGACCCTGTCAGGAAAACTTCAGTCAAACAGGTCCATACAATTAGTCTACAGACATTCTTTTTCTGCTCTACCGGTAGTGCATCTGGAAACATCGCCTCTGCCCGATACTAGGAAGGAAAAGAAGAAATATGAACAATCTGGAGCATCTGCTGATAAGGTGTACTATATTAAGTCGTGGTACTACGCTTTATTTAATTTCGTTCATGACCAACGCACTCCCAGAAAATCTTCTTCCAACTTGGACAGTGATGACGAAAATAGTTGTGAGGTGAGTTAAATTATTTTGTACGAAGAATTTTTTTATTATGTTGTATGAAATACATTATCATTTACATTTATAATTACACAAAACCATATAACTATTTAAAACTACTTCGTTTTTTAGCATGATCATTTTACCATAGTAAGATTAAAATAATTTTTTCTTAGTTTTCCATGGTGCTATTTTGTGCATTATATCCTTCAGAAATTATAGTCCCGTTTTCAGAATTTTCTGGATAGAAACATTCTTGAGGTGCATAAGACTTTTCTGAGTGTTCAGTTAAAAAGTTATCTAGCGCACATGAAGCTTTAACTACTTAATCGATATTTTCGGGTTCTAAATTTATACAAGAGTAATTTACCAGAAATCGTGAGACCATCAGCAATTTTGACAGTGCACCTGACGCGAGATAATCTGTAATTCAGGTTTTCCTTTCTTTGGATGTTAAATCTGCCTGCTGAAACGGTTTAATCAGATCGAGAGGCAACGGAAACGCGTCGGCAGCCACTTTTTTGTATCACAGGAGTAACCCTTGCAAGTAATTTTAGGTATGTGCACTCGTCTTTCTAAGATAGTTTGATATCTTAGATAAAACACTAAACTGGAATTCGCATCTGGAAGCAGTCCTTAAGAAGGCAAGGATCTCGCTATGGAACTGCCGAAGGGTCTGTGGAAAGAACTGGAGAATGAAGCCTAAACAAACGTTTTGGCTTTATACCATGTTTATTACATCCACTACATGCATTTGTTTATATTTTTATGTTTATCCATCCTGTAATTGGATATGGCTATTGCTAAATAAATAAATAAATTAGACATATGATAACCTATGGATCTGTAGCTTGGTGGGGCAAGGCAGCACGAAGAACTGTCCAAGCCAAACTGACCGCAATATAGAGAGAAGCTTGTATGTTAACGACTAGTGCTTTTCGTACCACACTAACTGCAGCTGTGGAGGTCCTTCTTAATTTACCCCCCTTGCACATATACCTGGAAGGCGAGGCAAGAAGGACATCTTATAGACTACATCATGTGGCAAATGCTGTAATGGACAATATCGCTATGGAGGGGACGGACATGCTGGTGGATTTACAAAACCAGTCCAGTCTGGGAATGCCTTCTGATATAATGCCAAAGATAACAAGATATGCTAAACCCTACTCAGTGACAATTCCACACAGGAATGGGTGGGAACAGCAATTTAACCTGATAAGGAAAGATATCTGTGCATACACAGATGGCTCTAAGACCGAGGTAGGTGCTGGAGCTGGTATCTTCGTGCCGAAGCTAAAGATTAAAAAATCTCTTAGCCTAGGAACATGGCGATCGATCTTCCAGGCAGAGCTATATGCTATAGGTACCAGAATGATCGCAGAACGACAACTGAGA